AGAGGAACAGCTGGAGCCTGTTCCCAGTGTGGGCATGCGCAGAGCTGCCAGGATAGAAGAACAGCTCAGGAATCAGGGTCAACTTGGGTGTAAAGCCACAGATGGATGATGAATGGCCCCTCCCATAGGAAATAAAAGAGGAGTAAAAGGAGAGTGGGCTTTTGCAGGAAACAATTTGTTCACTCATTCATTCGTTTCAGGAGTGTGAAGATCTGTCTGTGAATCTCAGAGACTCTGTGCCAAAGTCTTTCCTTGCACAGCACCTCATTTGATAAATATTTGCGTGGCAGCTTTCCAAGCTAGATAAGGTCTGTGGTCATAAATCCACCTTTGAAAGACTGTTTGCCAGGCCTTGGCTGAATGTGAAGGAAAGGAATTCACATTTGTTTAATAAAAGGGGTTTTGTCGGGACCAGGAATCTGCCTTGGGCTTTTTGGGAAACAACTTATGACCCTCAAAATCAATGGGGAAGCCAGATTCACTTAACAACCATGTTACTAACTGAGCAACTGCAGCAATTCACTTCCCAGCCGTGGCGAGACAGTTCGCACAATGGGGTAAAACTCACCAAACAACAGTCTCACTCAGCGACACATAAATTTGAGGTTCTTTTAAGGTGAGGACTACCTGGACCGGAATTAGCCCATCGGCACCCTGTGGAGCCAGACAGGGGGGGGAGGAAGTGATGCGATGATTGACAGCAGCATCTGTAACTGGCACAGAGGCTTTGGAAGCCCACTGTTTCCACGTTAGCGTCATAAGATATTTTATCAAAAGGCACACCGCTTACCCCGCAGCAGGATCCCCATTTGATGTCTGCTGCCTAGGGAGACCCCGTGCTCGCCAAAAAGAAAAGTTATTATATGAATTATCATCCATCGCTAAGGATTTGACAGGTTTTCTTTCCCCCATTCAAAAAAGAGAAAGGGGTGGGGAAGGCAGCACCCCCAAATAACTTCCCCAACATTTCAAACACAAAAAAAGACACGAAGGGGACCGACACTATATTTTTTTTTCCTTTTTAATTCCAGGCTTACGTAGATTTGGAAAGGGAATGAAATCGAGGAGGCGTCTGGAAAGGGGAGGGAATAAAACAGACAGAACGTTTTGTCCCCCCGGTCCATAATTCTGTCTGTTGCATTTACGTCTGGAATTTGCCCTGGGATTAACTCTTTGTGTCTATGTGCACCAGTTGTGGCCCTATCTGGACCGGGAGGCACTTCGAATGGTCACTCATGCCCTCGTCACTTCAAGGCTCGATTACTGCAACGCACTCTACATGGGGCTGCCTTTGAAGAGTCTTCGGAGACTACAGTTGGTCCAGAATTCAGCCGCGCGAGCGATATTGGGTGTACCTCA